CATTTCTCGACCCGCTCTTTCGTTTGAGCCCAAAAAAACATTCATATCTTGTCTGACATCTTTGCTACAAACTCGGGTCTTCAACTTGGGTTTTCAATTGAAGGCCCAATATGGTGAGCGGAGCGAGCAGGGGGTGGAGCCCCCAGTAAATAAATAAAATAAATAAATCATCTCACTACCCTCACTATATTTTCGACTTTCAGAGAAAGGCGAAGTACACAGAAGCCAAGCTAAAAGCCCTGAAGGCGCGAAACGAGTACATCCTCTGCCTGGAAGCCTCGAACACAACGATCCACAAGTATTTCGTGGACGATCTGTCTGACCTAATCGACTGCATGGACTTTGGCTTCCACAATTGCATAGCCCGAGCCCTCCTGATGCACTGCAGTGCCGAAGAGGGACGCCAAAGATCGTTACAATCCGGTGCTGAACAGCTAGCAGCATGCGTTGGCTCCCTAGACTCACGAGCTGACAAACAGAGATTTCTCGAGTCCCATCATGCCGCCTTCATGATTCCCAAAAAATTTGAATTCCAGTGCCAACGGGGTGACGATGCACCCGAGCCTGAACTACAAAAAATTCTTCACAATGAGATGGAACAGAGACTGACGCAGTTGCAGCAGAGGGTTACGTCATTGAGAACCGAGTCTGAGGAAGTTTGGAAGACACTCGAAACTGCTGAGGCCAGTCTCCTTGAAATGTTGACAGCTAAGGATTACGATTGCACTAGGTATTTTGGTGACAATGCTGTGCCAACTTCAAAGCCACCTGAGACTGTTCAGATCAAATTGCGCGCCGACAGACAAGAGACTGAGGACTTCTATCTTATGGTAATTTGAGACGGTTTCGTGGGGTGGAGGGGGCTGCATGAGGTGAAAATCATTTCTTTTTGTTGGGAAAATATTCGGGAATTGGTGGGAGATTGAGGAATTTTTGTGAGGACCGTTTTTGTAGCTGGGGAAATTTGCAAGAAAAATTTCCTTTGACATTCTTTGATGAAATTATTTTGTTTTGGAGAGGATTTGGTTTTAACGAACATGGGGGTTCGTTTTTTAAAATATTTAGCATCTGCCATTTTTTGTTATTTCGATTTTATCTTTAGAAACCGGTGGTTTTAGCAAAAAATGTCACAAAATTTTTTTTGTAGAGGATTAAATTTCCAACAAAAAATGTTTTTTCGCATTTTCTGCTAAAATCACTACCTATTTAAATAATTCGCCATTTAACATTGACTTGTTACTTGATTGAAAAATGAAAATGATGGAAACTTATCATGAGTTTTCAAGATGAATTTACAATTCAAAATTACTTCTCATAATTTTCATGAATAAATATCAATGATAAAAATCCTTATCATCTTTTCATTATTTCTCCAAAAAATCTCTCTACATTATAAAAATGCAAATGGACTTCTAGTGATAAAAATGTGGCACTCGGAATTAAGACTGTACAATTATGGGCCATAAGGGTCAAAATAATGGTGATGAGAGGTAAAATAATAATCATAAGGGTCACGAGGGTCAAAACAAGGTTCATGAGGTTCAAAATCAGGGTCATGGGGGTCAGATTAAGGGTGAGAAGTGTCTAATTAAGGGTTACAAGGGTCAGAAAAAGAGTCACAAGGGTCAGATTAAGGGTCGCAAAGATCAGAATAAGGATCAGAGTCAAATTAAGGATTAGATTAAAGGTCGCAAGGGTCAGAATAAGGGGCTAAATAAGGGTCATATGGGTCAGATTGAGGGTCACGAGAGGTATAATGAGGGTCTGAATGAGGGTTACGAGGTTCAGATTAAGGGTCACAAAGATCAGAATAAGGATCACAAACTCAGATTAAGGGTCGGATTAAAAGTCACAAGGATCAGAATAAGGGCAACAAGGGGCAGATTAAGGGTCACGAGAGATATATGAGGGTCAGAATGAGGGTTACAAGGTTCAGATTAAGGGTCACAAAGATCAGAATAAGGATCACAAACTCAGATTAAGGGTCAGATTGAAGGTCACAAGGGCCAGAATAAGGGTCATATGGGGCAGATTAAGGGTCACGAGCGGTATAATAAGGGTCAGAATGAGGGTTACGAGGTTCAGCTTAAAGGTTACAAAGGTCAGAATAAGGATCACAAACTCAGATTAAGGGTGAGATTAAAGGTCACAAGGACCAGAATAAGGGTCCAAATAAGGGCCACATGGGTCATATGGGTCAGATTAAGGGTCACAAGAGGTATAATGAGGGTCAGAATGAGGATTACGAGGGTCAGATTAAGGGTCACATAGATCAGAATAAGAATCACAGAGTCAGATGAAATGTCGCAAGGGCCAGAATAAGGGTCCAAATAAGGGCCACAAGGGTCATGTGGGTCAGATTAAGGGTCACATAGATCAGAATAAGAATCACAGAGTCAGATGAAATGTCGCAAGGGCCAGAATAAGGGTCCAAATAAGGGCCACAAGGGTCATGTGGGTCAGATTAAGGGTCACATAGATCAGAATAAGAATCACAGAGTCAGATGATATGTCGCAAGGGCCAGAATAAGGGTCACAAGGGTCAGAGTAAGAATCATGAGGATCATGTGGGGGTTGACTAGTGGAACGTAGCCCCCTAGTAAATAAATAAAAACGATTAAAAATCAAATTGGAATTGTGAATGAATGGCGAAACCTCTCGACGTCAAAAAAATCCTCAATAATTCTCCATTCCCCCAGAAATTCCGAGAATACCTGCTGGGCACCTCGCGCATAGCCCGCCTGGACGCAAAACAGGACTACATCCGGCAGTCCCTGCAGGACGGTTCGAACGGCAGTCCAAACCCGTCAATTCCCTCAAAGCAGAAGCAAGCGCGACGAAAGAGGATCGGTCGCCTCCAGATGAACGGCCAGCCGAAGCTCTTCGGCGGTTCCCTGGAGGAGTACCTCGAGACCATGAACCAGGAGATACCTCTGATAGTGAAGAGTTGCGTTCGAGTGATAAATCTCTACGGCCTCCATCACCAGGGAATCTTCCGCGTCTCTGGCTCTCAAGTGGAGATAAATAATTTTCGCGAGTGGTTTGAACGCGGCGAGGATCCCCTGGCCGACGTGACAGACGCCTCCGACATAAACAGTGTTGCTGGTGTTCTCAAGCTATACCTCCGAGAACTCCGTGAGCCCCTCTTTCCCATAATCTACTTTGAACATCTCATGGAGCTCGCACAACTCGAATCAAAACAAGAATTTGTCATCAAGATGAAGGAATTGATATCGAGTTTATCACGACCTGTTGTCATCGTAATGCGATATCTCTTCGCATTTCTCAATCATCTGTCTGAATTTTCAGATGAAAATATGATGGATCCGTACAATTTAGCCATATGCTTTGGTCCAACACTTGTACCAGTGCCAGAGGACAAGGATCAAGTGCAGTATCAGAATCAAGTCAATGAGCTTATTAAAAATATTATAACATTCTGCGAGGAGATATTTCCCGATGATATTGGGGGCATTCAGTATGAGAAGTACATCAGCAGAGAGCCTGATGATGTGTGAGTTTATCATGTTTTTCATACATCTTATTTATTTATTTTTTTTTCATTTTTATTTCATCAAAATTATTAAATTCATTTCAAATTGTCAGTTCATCAATTCTACAAGAATCCTCACCCTTTTTTCGATTGAGTTTATTATTATTATTTTTATTATTATTAATCTTGTTATTTTAATGATAAAAGTTCATTGAGAATTGTGAATTCACCTAAAAAAAATTGAATAAAAAAATTAAATTCTTCTTTTTTCTAAAAAAATTATTTTTTTATGGTTTTCTTAAATAAAAATGATAAAAACGAATTGCGAATTGTGAATTTACCTCAAAACCTCTCGATTTCACAGAAAAAAAACACATTTTCAACTTTTTTTTTCAACAGAATTATTTTTTCTAACAATTTTTTTCTGATAAAAATTAATTTGGAATGGTGAATTCACTTCAAAACCTCTCGAATTCACAAGAAAATCTTCTCAAGTCCCTCTTTTTCAGAAGAATAAAAATTTTTTCGTCGTTCATCTCTGGTGAAAACGAAAAAAAATTGATTTTTAATTATGAATTTACCTCAAAAACTCCTGATTTCACAAAAAAAAAAACGTTTTCAACTCTTTCTTCAACAGAATTATTTTTTCTAATAGCTTTTTTTCTTATGAAAATCGCTTTTGAATTGTGAATTCATGCAAAAACTTTTCATTTTACAAAAACAAAGACCCTTTTAAATCTTTTTTCTAACGTATTAAATTCCCCTCGAAAAAAAGTACATCAACTGAGCCAGATGATGTGTGAGTTTATGCTGTTGCTTTTCATACGTGATCCCATTTTTTAAAATCCAAAGTGACACTTGAGGGACAGGTTCTCTTAACATTGATGGGGCTTGTTTTTGTTGCAGGGATGTGGGCGATTCACCGACTGATCAGGTTCAAGAGGACATGGATTCCGAGGTCTATCCGTCTGAAGATGGTGAGGTTTTTATGGTTTTATGGGGCATGTGGTTTAATTGAAAAAGATTCATTTGAATCTGGGATTGAAGGAATTTTATTTCTCTTATTTATTCGTGTTTTTTTGTGTTAATTGATGATTTTTTCGTGTTTATAAGCTGCTCGTTCAGAGAAAGTGGATCCAGAAGAGTCACTCAATTAATTAATTAATTAATTTACCTATTTATTTATTTATTTATTTGAAAAATGCATAGATTTGTTACGATTTTCGATTTTTTAAAATGAATCACTTTCAATCCCGGATAACTCAAGATCGGCTGAGTGAAATTTGACGATTTTTTTTTCAGTTTGAAGGTATTTTTTCAAGCTTTAAAATGAGATTTTATTTATCCCAATCGCATCGTTTAGTCAGAAGATATTAATGATTTAAGAAACTTCATTTTCCTTCATTTTTCTTAAACACTAAAATTTCTTCTTTCAAATTTTCGCGTTTATCTCAAAAGGGAGTGGTTTTAGATAAAAATGTCATAAGATATTTGTTGTAAAGTATCAAATTTCCTACAAAAAAGTCTTGTGATATTTTTCTCTAGAATTATTCATTCTCGAGTTAATTAAGGATTTAAATACACGTGTCAGTGAAATTGTCGCTTGAGATATGTAAATTGTCTTGTTTAACGATTAATAATCTTCAGTATCAACTGGCGAGTCGGATGAATGAATGAATTACTCATTTGAAGTGATATTAATTGTTTTAGAATCGGAGAATCTAGAGGCGACAGCCCAATTTGACTTCAACGCACGATCAGAGCGTGAGTTGAGTTTTAAAAAAGGTGACACTATAACTCTCTACATGCAAGTGAGTTACGACTGGTGGAGAGGCTCAGTGGGTGGACGAGAGGGTCTTATCCCCGATAAATACATTATGCTCAAAATAAAGTGAGTGGAATAATCAATAAATAATAATCAAGTCGTGAAAAAATAAAACGAGATAAATCAGCGCATTTAGTCTGTGGATCTAGTAAAACGTGTTACAGAAAAATTCTCAAGCATGGTCATTTAACCCTTAATCCTACATGTCTTCAAGGGTCGTTTGACCCTTACACCCACTTGACCCTCAACCAAAAAAATATAAATTTAACTCTAAACAAAAAAAAAAATTCCAAGACATTCTTTCCCTTAAAAAAAAGTGTCTCAACATTTTGCTTTATTTGAGGGCCAAACGACCCTTACGAACGTTTGAAGTTGAGGGTCAAATGGTCTTGAGGGTCAAAAATCCTTAAAAACTTTCAGAATTAAGCATCAAATGGTCTTCAGGGCCAATCGTGTTACCGCAAATGTATCAGAAACCGTTAAGGGTCGTTTGACCCTTACCTACACGTCTTCAAGGGTCATTTGACCCTTACACCCACTTGACCCTCAACCAAAAAAATATAAATTTAACTCTAAACAAAAAAAAAAATTCCAAGACATTCTTTCCCTTAAAAAAAAGTGTCTCAACATTTTGCTTTATTTGAGGGCCAAACGACCCTTACGAACGTTTGAAGTTGAGGGTCAAATGGTCTTGAGGGTCAAAAATCCTTAAAAACTTTCAGAATTAAGCATCAAATGGTCTTCAGGGCCAATCGTGTTACCGCAAATGTATCAGAAACCGTTAAGGGTCGTTTGACCCTTACCTACACGTCTTCAAGGGTCATTTGACCCTTACACCCACTTGACCCTCAACCAAAAAAATATAAATTTAACTCTAAACAAAAAAAAAAATTCCAAGACATTCTTTCCCTTAAAAAAAAGTGTCTCAACATTTTGCTTTATTTGAGGGCCAAACGACCCTTACGAACGTTTGAAGTTGAGGGTCAAATGGTCTTGAGGGTCAAAAATCCTTAAAAACTTTCAGAATTAAGCATCAAATGGTCTTCAGGGCCAATCGTGTTACCGCAAATGTATCAGAAACCATTAAGGGTCGTTTGACCCTTACCTACACGTCTTGAAGGGTCATTTGACCCTTACACCCACTTGACCCTCAACCAAAAAAATATACATTTAACTCTTAACTAAAAAAAAAATTCCAAGACATTCTTTCCCTTAAAAAAAAGTGTCTCAAAATTTTGCCTTATTTGAGGGCCAAACGACCCTTACGAACGTTTGAAGTTGAGGGTCAAATGGTCTTGAGGGTCAAAAACCCTTGAAAACTTTCAGGATTAAGCATCAAATGGTCTTCAGGGCCAATCGTGTTACCGCAAATGTATCAGAAACCGTTAAGGGTCGTTTGACCCTTACCTACACGTCTTGAAGGGTCATTTGACCCTTACACCCACTTGACCCTCAACCAAAAAAATATAAATTTAACTCTTAACTAAAAAAAAAATTCCAAGACATTCTTTCCCTTAAAAAAAAGTGTCTCAAAATTTTGCCTTATTTGAGGGCCAAACGACCCTTACGAACGTTTGAAGTTGAGGGTCAAATGGTCTTGAGGGTCAAAAACCCTTGAAAACTTTCAGGATTAAGCATCAAATGGTCTTCAGGGCCAATCGTGTTACCGCAAATGTATCAGAAACCGTTAAGGGTCGTTTGACCCTTACCTACACGTCTTCAAGGGTCATTTGACCCTTACACCCACTTGACCCTCAACCAAAAAAATATAAATTTAACTCTTAACTAAAAAAAAAAATTCCAAGACATTCTTTCCCTTAAAAAAAAGTGTCTCAACATTTTGCTTTATTTGAGGGCCAAACGACCCTTACGAACGTTTGAAGTTGAGGGTCAAATGGTCTTGAGGGTCAAAAATCCTTAAAAACTTTCAGAATTAAGCATCAAATGGTCTTCAGGGCCAATCGTGTTACCGCAAATGTATCAGAAACCGTTAAGGGTCGTTTGACCCTTACCTACACGTCTTCAAGGGTCATTTGACCCTTACACCCACTTGACCCTCAACCAAAAAAATATAAATTTAACTCTCAACTAAAAAAAAAATTCCAAGACATTCTTTCCCTTAAAAAAAAGTGTCTCAACATTTTGCTTTATTTGAGGGCCAAACGACCCTTACGAACGTTTGAAGTTGAGGGTCAAATGGTCTTGAGGGTCAAAAATCCTTAAAAACTTTCAGAATTAAGCATCAAATGGTCTTCAGGGCCAATCGTGTTACCGCAAATGTATCAGAAACCGTTAAGGGTCGTTTGACCCTTACCTACACGTCTTCAAGGGTCATTTGACCCTTACACCCATTTGACCCTCACCCCCAAACCTCATTAAGGGTCGTTTGACCCTCAATACCAACTACCCCCAACCGAAACCAAAAAAAAAGTCTCCTCATATCATTCCCCGAAAATTCCACAAATAAATCCCTTCTCATCCAGAATTTAATCAACGAATCCAATCGAATTTCTTCTTCCAGGGACGAAGAGCGTGACAAAGATCTCTTGAAATCCTCCAGTGAAGAGTCAATGCGCAGGCGAGCATCGAGCTCAGCAGACAGTACCCTATCAAGCAACAATTCACCACTGATGGGACCAAGTAGTAATCACAACAATGCGTGGCCCACGACAAATGCAACAGACACTGTAACGACTTCCGGGGCCCCTCAGCACACCGAAGTCATCCCCAACAATGCCATTATATCGATGGCAGTGGCGAACACAGCGTGCGCCTCGCAAACGCTCATCAGTCGAGAGGTATTGGAAACAACAGTCTAGCACTCAAAATTAATGAGCAAGAGTTCATTCTATTTTTATCATTTGTTGTTTTTTTTTTTTTTTCGTTTATCGCTTGACCTCGAGACAAGCTCAGACTCTTCGTGTCGCAGATGCATGATTTTTCACTAGCAAAAGAGCACAATGCACTGCTTAATTGTTGAATTTGAAGACAGAGAGAAATTTGTGAATTATTTTTCAGACAGAATGGGACGAGTGGAAACTTTGGGGGGAATTATCGTGACAGGGAAGGGTTTTAGGGGAAAATGTCAGATGATATTTTTTGTTGGAAATTTAATTCTCCACGATAATGATGTTGTGACATTTTTTTGTAGAATCAATAGTTGTGGAGATATATTCACAATTCAAAATTGAATTTTTCATTTTTGTTTCAATAACTAAATGACACGTCACTTTGAATTGCGAATTATCTTGATAACGATTGCTTCTGCAGAAAAATAGCAAAGGACTTTTTTCTTGGAAATTTAATTCTCTACAAAAAAGGTCTCTCTGTATTTCTGCGTAAAATCAATAGTTTTCAAGATAATTTCAAAATTCAAAACTCAAGTTTTCCTTTTTAGTTTCAAAATTAAATGACAAACGATTTTTTTAGATGTAGATTATCTTGATAACGAGTTAGTCGACAATCAAGCATAAAAAGACATTTTCAAACATGTTCCCCTTCTCCAAAAGTCTCAAAATGAGTAAAAATATTTTTTTTTTTATGAAAATATCTCATAAATTCCTCTCTGCGCACAGATCTTATTGTAAACCACGAGTCCACCACCGATAAGACTGAATTTTTCAATTTTCTACCCCAATACCTAAAATAAACTCCCATTGAAATGAATCAAACGACTCGTAACGACTGACAACAGAGATAAATCGAGAGGTCGATCCCTAGACTAGAATTAACGACAGTCTCCTAGTTCATTAGTAAACTCTGTACGATACAAATTGTAAATAATAAAAAAATGAATCTGAAAATATATAGAACCGTCAAAAAAACGCCAATTCATGTGCCCATGCATGTCCGCCATTTTTGTTTGTTATATTTTTACGATTGAATTTAATTCAGGAAAAGTTGAGGTAAAAACGCATTCCTCAAATCCACAATATCTCCCGAACCAACGATGCGATTGGGACGAGTCAGAGCTCATTTCAAAGCATTAAAAAAAATCTTCAAAATGAGGAAAGAAATTTTGAATTTCACTCTACCGATCCTGAGTTATTGAGGATTAAAGACGAAGGCGTTTTACCCTCCTCTCTCCGATCTATTTTTTCTGCTCTTGTTCTATCGAATGCCTGTGTTTAATCGTCTGTTGCAACTGGATCTTGGGTTTTTTTATTATTTTACATTATTTTCACATTATTTACTCTGTTTTCCAGATTTATGTTTAGGTCTGAGAGATATTAATCGCTTAGGCCCCTATGACAATTCGAGGAAACTAAAATTTAGATGAAAAAAAAACTGTTCGATAAAACTGCTGACCAATAAACAAAAGCCAAGTGTTAATTTTTATGTGTAATTGTGTGCGTATTATGATAATTAATGCAGTTGTTATGTTCAATTTGTTTTGTTTGTTCGGGAGTTTGGGATTTTCTGGAAGAAAATTGTTTTGTTTGAAAGAAAAAAAAATATATAATAATTACGGAGGGGAGGGAGTGTCGAATTGACAGTTCAGTTGGTTTTGTGCAATCCCATAGAGTCCTGTAGAACATACTCAGTCTGTAGACGATACCAAAGGGAATGCCGATAGCGGATACGTCTTAGACAGCACGGATAAACTTTGAGAAATGAAAGAAAATGTATTAAAAATATATGAATTGGGTGAGTAATTCATTGACCTCCATCTCCTCCGCATTTTAACTCGCTAATTCATAACATTATTCACTCAAGTACAGAGGAAAATGCCCTGTTTTATGCACATATTGTCATTTGATTCACTGTTTTTTAAATATGCCCTTTTTTCTGTCAGATTCGATATTCCTTTTTTCAATTGATTGTTTATAATCATTCTCACTTCAGAAAGAGACCGATGCGACCGATGAGAATCATATTACAATAAATCATTTGCTCATGTTCTCATTCCTATGCTCACTGAGTAATATTTTAATCATAATTACAATTCAATTCCTTCTAGAACACACTTTAGAGTGTGAATTTCTGTTATTTCTGTTATCAGTTTTCAGTCAGTTCACATGGTAATTTAATTAATCTGTTGTTCATCTCATCAATATAATTCCGTGCTTAGAATATTGTCATCTCGTGTTTTCAGCACAAAATTAAAAATTAAAACTTCATTTGGAATATTGAGTCACAGCTTCATTTTATTCATATCAGAAATTTTGTATTTGGATATTAATATTATTTGTTCAAAGTGAAAAAATCGATCATCATTTTTACTATATTGCATTCAGATTCTCCTATCTTAATAATTCTAATCAACTTTGTTCGAAGAAAATCTTAGTAAACGCAATATTAAGAAAGTAGAACTATTCTATTTTCCTCTGACCTAAATGATTTGGACAATTATGATTCGTTTATTTAAAAAATCTGACAAAAATTATGCATTAAAAACAGTGAATTTTGTCTTTTTTTTATTGTTAATTCATCTCGAGGATGAGTTGTCTTAATATCAAGAGAGTTTTGTTTTTCATTTGATGATAAGTCAGGTTTTATAGATTTTTTATTATTGTCAAAACGAAAGGTTTTGGCCGGAAATGTCAAAGGATTTTTTGCAGAATTGAATTTACAGCCAAAAAAAAATTTCTGAAATTTTCTCTTCAAATCACTCTTCATGGAGATAATTCGTTATTCAACAATATCATGATTGATTATTTTTACAAATGAAAAAAAAATTGGTTTGAAGTTCTTAGAGCTTTTAAATTGATGTCAATTGATATTAAATCATCTATTAATGAAGATAATTCAATTTCTCAACATTAATTATTCCTCTAATTGAAAAAACAAACAGTTTTAAAGAGATTTTCAATAAATATTAATTTATCTTTTCACTCGTCAACGAATTATTTTTCCAATTTGAGAAAAAATGAGTTTACAAATTTTTGGTAATTGTTAATTAACTTCGAAAACAAGTGAATTAAAAAGGGAATTTTAACAGACATTTTTCTAGAAAATAGAATTTCCAGGAAAAAAAAACTCTTGATATTTATTTAAACCAATTCATCACTGGATTCAAAGTGACAGTAATTTTTTATTCTACATCAGAAAGAGTTATAAATCAAAATACGAATGAATTTTCCTCTGTACCTCTAGAACTAAACCGCATCCAAAGATAAAAATCCATAGATACTCATCAAGTATACCCTATTATCTCGCATCTGCAATGCCATAATCATTTTGTATCAGTTTTTTCGAACAGTTTTCCCTCACCCACAGATGGCTGTAGTACCTCTGTAGTAAGATTGCATGAAAATTCAAAATTTGCATGATTTATCAAGTGTAGATTTTCTCCACTGGCTCATAAAGTGGATTTAAACGCCTCAATTTTCAAAAATTCATCATCAAAATTCAATCTTTTCGCCCAACTTTGGCACAACATTTCATTTTCAAAATTCACATAAATAAAAAACCAAATAAATAAACACGAATAGATAAAAATAAAGTGTAGATTGGCTCCTCTAGCTCTAAAATTGGATTCAAACTCTCAATTTTCCAAATTTTATCACCCAAATTTATCTCTAAAATCATCTCTCCCAAATTCGCTTCAGTATCTCGAGAAAAAAATTAAAACTATTCTCAATGAAATTTTTTTTTTTCGAAACAAACAAATAAAGAACTAAATGAATAAAATCACATTCTGGATTTGCTCCCCTAGCTCTAAAATTGGATTCAAACCCTCAATTTTCCGAGTTTTATCACCTAAATTGATTTCTAAAATCATTTTTCCTAAATTCGCTTCGAAATCTCAAAGAAAAATTTCAAAAGTACTCCCAACATTTTCTCTCAAAACTCACACAAATGAAAAACAGAATAAACACAAATGAACAAAAATGAAGTGTAGATTTCCTCCCCTAGCTCATCGAGTGGATTTCAGCCTTCGATATAAAAAAAAATTTCATGATAAAAATTCAATCATTTCCTAAAAATCCTCCACATTTGCTTCAGAATCTCAAAAATACCCCCAATGGCACGACATTTCCTGTTCAAAATTCAAATTAAAAACACAAATAAAAATAAAGTGTAGATTAGCTCCTCTAGCTCTAAAATTGGATTCAAACCCTCAATTTTCTCAATTTTATCACCTAAATTGATTTCTAAAATCATTTTCCCCAAATTCGCTTCAAAATCTCAAAGAAAAATTTCAAAAGTACTCCCAACATTTTCTCTCAAAACTCACACAAATGAAAAACAGAATAAACACAAATGAACAAAAATGAAGTGTAGATTTCCTCCCCTAGCTCATCGAGTGGATTTCAGCCTTCGATATAAAAAAAAATTTCATCATAAAAATTCAATCATTTCCTCCACATTTGCTTCAGAATCTCAAAAATACCCCCAATGGCACAACATTTCCTGTTCAAAATTCAAATTAAAAACACAAATAAAAATAAAGTGTAGATTGGCTCCTCTAGCTCTAAAATTGGATTCAAACCCTCAATTTTCTCAATTTTATCACCTAAATTGATTTCTAAAATCATTTTCCCCAAATTCGCTTCAAAATCTCAAAGAAAAATTTCAAAAGTACTCCCAACATTTTCTCTCAAAACTCACACAAATGAAAAACAGAATAAACACAAATGAATAAAAATGAAGTGTAGATTTCCTCCCCTAGCTCATCGAGTGGATTTCAGCCTTCGATATAAAAAAAAATTTCATCATAAAAATTCAATCATTTCCTCCACATTTGCTTCAGAATCTCAAAAATACCCCCAATGGCACAACATTTCCTGTTCAAAATTCACGTTGAAAACACAAATAAATAAAAAAAAAGTGTAGATTAGCTCCCCTAGCTCTAAAATTGGATTCAAGCCCTCAATTTCCAAAATTTCATCATCAAAATTCACTCATCTCCCCCTCTCCCCACTGGCACAACACTCCCCTCTCACCCCTCACCCCCCCCCCCAAAAAAAAACCGAATCACCAATCAACCAAAATTTCAGGGTTCAACCCAGTCGAAGCCGTCGACCCCGAGCGACGAGAAAGTCTTCCCCGTGGACGGCGCCCTGGACGAGAACGGAAGTGTCAATGACTTCCTGGACGCCCTGTCAACGGGCAGTGACGACCTCCCCCCGGACCCATCGACCTCCCCCGACGCGCCCCGCGGAATGTCCCGAAAGCAGCAGTGGAAATCCCAAAGCGTCCTGGAGGGTTCTCCGGCGTCCCAAGTCGACGAGCCCCCCGAGACGAAGACATTCTCGGCGAATCGTGAGCTGTGGCAGAAGCGTGCAACCTCCCAGAGCAATCTGGCGCCCCCAGTACCCCCGACCCCCAAGTCCCTCCGAGTTCTCCAGGAATTTCGAGACATGCGACAGAAGCACACACCCGACCTAGTGATGGATCTTCCCCTGACATCCCAGGACGAAAACAAAAAGTCATCGTCCTCATCGAGTCTGAGCAGCTCAGACGACGAGACATCGTCGGTCTACCAGAATCGTTCACCTGGTTCCAATGGTCCCGAATCACCAGACATGAGCACAGCAGCCGAGAGATTTGCCAAGCAAAATCAGTGTACATTGAAGAAAAATACAAAAACATCAAATGGAAGTAATTCAGAAAGAATAAAGAGCCTGATTGACGATGAGGATCAGGCTGAGAGCAATGACATTGTGAGATCAGCCAGCAGCAGTGAGATATCGTCGACTGATGTGCCATTACGTTCCCCACTGCCACCAAGATCAACACCCATGATAGCTGCTAAATTTGCAGATATGAGACTGACTGGTGGCAGCCAGCAAGTGTCTTCCTTCAAACCACAGGTCAAGGTTAAACCTACAATATTGCGTAAACCAGTTATGCCTTTTCCACATCCACACATGAGCCCGGAATTGGCGAGGAAGATTGAGAAGCAGGTGCAGAATACAGAGCAGGCTAATTAGATTTTAGAATTTTTTTGGAGAGGGGGGTTTTATCGTGAGTTTTTTGGGGTGGAGAATTTATTGTGGGAGAATTTAGAAGGTTTTGAGAGCTCTAGGGAGGGTTTGATTGGTATTTTTGTAGGTTTTGTAGATGTCGAGATAATTGTGAAAGATGAAGCCACGATTTTTCATTTCAGATGAGGGTCAAGTGGTGTTGAGGGTCAAATGACCCTTGATGATGGGTAGGTTTGAGGGTCAAATGATTCTTTCTGATCATTCGCCTCTGACTCTATTGACCTTTTATCGTAAATGGTGTTAAGGGCCATTTGACCCTCAATTCCAAACGTTGAGGGTCATTTGACCCTCGAAGCCATTTGACCCTCAACTGAAGTAAAATTTCAAGACTTCTTTCTTTGTAGAGAAAGAATGTCTTGACATTTTGCTTCAGTTAAGGGTCAAATTTATTGTTTTAGTTGAGGGTCAAACGACCCTTAATGAGGTTTGGGGCGAGGGTCAAATGGTCGTAAGGGTCAAACGCCCCTTGAAGACATGCAGATTTAAGGGTCAAATGGTACCTTCTGATCACTCAACTCCAACCCGCTTGACCCTTAAGATCATTTGACCCTCAAAGCCATTTGGCCCTCAACTGAAGTAAAATTTCAAGACTTCTTTCTTTGTAGAGAAAGAATGTCTTGACATTTTGCTTCAGTTAAGGGTCAAATTTACTGTTTTAGTTGAGGGTCAAACGACCCTTAATGAGGTTTGGGGCGAGGGTCAAATGGTCGTAAGGGTCAAACGCCCCTTGAAGACATGCAGATTTAAGGGTCAAATGGTACCTTCTGATCACTCAACTCCAACCCGCTTGACCCTTAAGATCATTTGACCCTCAAAGCCATTTGGCCCTCAACTGAAGTAAAATTTCAAGACTTCTTTCTTTGTAGAGAAAGAATGTCTTGACATTTTGCTTCAGTTAAGGGTCAAATTTACTGTTTTAGTTGAGGGTCAAACGACCCTTAATGAGGTTTGGGGCGAGGGTCAAATGGTCGTAAGGGTCAAACGCCCCTTGAAGACATGCAGATTTAAGGGTCAAATGGTACCTTCTGATCACTCAACTCCAACCCGCTTGACCCTTAAGATCATTTGACCCTCAAAGCCATTTGGCCCTCAACTGAAGTAAAATTTCAAGACTTCTTTCTTTGTAGAGAAAGAATGTCTTGACATTTTGCTTCAGTTAAGGGTAAAATTTACTCCTTTAGTTGAGGGTCAAACGACCCTTAATGAGGTTTGGGGCGAGGGTCAAGAGTCCCTTGAGGACATGCAGATTTAAGGGTTAAATGATCCTTTCTGGTCACTCGACTCTAACCCGTTTGACCCTCAGGCTATTTAACCCCCAACTCTAAACGTCCTTAAGGGTCATTTGACCCTCAAAGCCATTTAACCCTCAACTAAAACAAAATCTCAAGACATCTTTCCTTATAGAGAAAGAAATTCCAAATGGTTTTAAGGGTCAAACGACCCTTAATGGATTAATAATAGTTTTTCTCGATTTTTTTAAAATTTCACTTAAACATCATTTGTTCGTAAATATCTCGAGATTCAACAAAGATACCAAAATATTCATTGAGACCTTTTTTGTGCAGAATTTCAAGAGCTACAAAAAGTTTCCCACAAAAATTCTCGTACCTCCAATATATTTAGAGATATCCATTAAAAACTCGATTAATCTCTTTTACACTTTAGCTACCGAATTTGGCCCTCGATGTGGAAAGATAATGGAATATCGTAGGTATTATATTACAGGGAATTTTTTAATACGTAATGGAATAATTGTGTTAACGCGTGACCATATTTTCGTAGATTCTTTAAAGATTTGAAGGTACATTTGAAGAATGTTTGTAACGAATTTTTATAGAGAGAAGTGAAATGATGATAAATTTCGATGGAATTCAATTTTTACGAGAAGTTTGTGCTTTCTACAATTAATCGACCAATCCAGCAAGACATAATTATCTAATGTTTTACTCTAAACTCTGAAACACCTTCAGAAGAACTCAATTCATCTCCCAAAATCGAAGGAAAAAAAATTATTTCCCTTTCTAAACAAAAACTTCTCTGTCTACGAAGAGTCTCGCTAGTAATGCAGATGTATACGTCCTCCCCCTCGATAAAAAAAAAACAATTTCTTCTAGTCGTCATGCAGTAATAAACCTATAATCGCACACAATGCACGTGATTATCCCGAGAGAAACGATAAGAATACGAATGATACATCGAATAATGAAAATGTAGATATAATTACCTAGCAACGCGTTTTTGTATGGATGTAATTTATTTTTTATCTCCACATACATCTCCCTGAATGTCCCCCAATAACCGAACAATACGATTGACTAATTAATATACGAGAGGATAATATTCCTGATGTGAGTGATTTTTTTTAAACGATGCAACGATAGAGAAACGAAAAAAAAAAAATGGTGCCGTTGTCATTCGATTGATATCAATTGAGTGATTGAGTTACGTCCCACTGACGTTTTCTGATCATTTCAATCCAAAATGTTCGATATAATTCAGTTATTAAGTGTACAGCTTAAAATCCAACGATACCACTTGTAATGGTTGAATAATCCGAGACTGGGTGATAGCCAATTGGCAAAATTAACTATTGTTGATTCACATTCGACATTTCTCCCTGCTTTATTCATTCTGGTAGAAAGATAACATGATACTAAACGCTGATTGTGTATACTCATGCCTTTCTGGTTGAAGGGAATGAAGAAGATGTCGAAATTTCAGCAGAAAAATTCCACGAGTCGATTTTTAACTCTCGTTAATGTCGTAATTATCTCATCAACGAGTGGTTCTACAAGAAAAAGTTACGAAACTTTTTTGTAGGAAATTTTCAGCTCTACAAAAAATATCTAGTGACATTTTATCGTAAATTCACTCATTTCTGGGATATTTGCGAAATTATCAAAGACAAAAACGACTAAATAAGATTTCACTTTTTTTTCTTGATTAGTTCTTTGATGATATCCCGTAATCTGCACGAGATAGCGAAATTTTCGTCCATACATTTTTTGTAGAGAATTTTCAGAGCTACAAAAAAAAACGAGACAATAATTTCGCTATCTGTAATAGATGAAGAGATATTCAACAAAACCCGAAAGGATTATTAATTTTTTATCATCGACATCGTTTTTATTTCCTTCAACTTCTTAAAATAGAGGATTATATAACCGTAATATCGATTTGATAATAAAAATAAGCTGAAGATAAACTCATATATATTCTTTGAGAATATTTGTCCACGGGATTGATAAGAATTTTGCATAATAATGATGCAGAGGTCCATGAAAAAAAATACGAGCCACCCTGTTTCCCATGACCATTTAGATATCCGACGAAGAGCGAAATTATAATCAATTTTATCGAGTGTAGAAAATTTCGCGAAGACAACATATAACCCACCGCAATGAATAACAGTTAAAATAAAACTTAATGAATAATCATTACTTATGACTTAATTATAACGAATTACATGACGATAAACCAAAGCTTAAGGACAAAGTAGCTGATGGAATCTGTACGTGAGATTTTTTTTCATTATTGAAACAATGAAATGCATATCCTAACGTAACCAGGACTGGCAATTGAACTGCTGTTGGTTTAATTAATTAATGAAGCAGTTTTAATGAAATTATTTTGATCTCCAAAACTCCTGCCAATACGATTCCCATGTGTAGGTGCTCTAATTTCCCACTTTATAGTATTACTACATCCAATAGATATTCAATTAAATGATAATAAAAATTGATAATCCCGTGTTAGTAATAAAACTTTGTCCTTATCTCTATTTGTATAAAAAACTTTTTCTACTTTCTACGATAGTTATTAATGTAAAACGTAAAGGAGATATCATTTTTATTAGAAAATATGATTTATGTAAAACCCTTCAATGATACTGATTAATTATTTTAGAATTATTCCAGTGAAAATTCTTTTATGAAAGAATGAAAGATATTCTTCATATAAATGTTTCCATAAATGAGATAAAAAAAACAATCAGGTCTTTTCAATAATCCCCTTGTACCCATTTAATTCCCACGATCAGATTTCAACAAGTGATGAGTGATAAAATAAATGACTGAAGGAGTTTGATTAACTCACCGGCGTTGGATGAAAACAACAGCTCCGTTTCCACCTCTCGCACCTCCTGCCGCACTTGTTATCCCTGGGGTTGAGTCCTCTCCACCGTCCTCACCTTGTCGATCACAATCACTTCAATTTCCACTGATGAACAAAAAAATAAACGAAAGAAATTCACTGAACCATGAAAAACTCCAGACCCCTTGACACTCTCCACAAACACTAATTTCATCGAGAAACCACTTCCTCCGCCATTTTCACCACTTCACCCGCCACTCGCGATTTTGAAAATCAAAAACCCCCGGATGCACTCACAAAAAATAAAAAAACCCCCGCGACTCCGGAAACACATCGACCGCCATCTTGCGTATTTATCAACACGTCGACAATAACGAAACTACTGACGTCACTTCGACATTCCCCACAACCCCACAATCACAAATAAAATCCTTCATGTCCACTGTCTCCACTCATTCTCCACTTCAACTCCATTTTTGGTCAATTAAAAAGTCAATAGACACTACAAACCGTCCAAACCCCAGTCCTTTGTCCAGAATCACACAGCAGGCGCCATCTTGTGACGTCACAAAGACGTCGGTCACACAGGGACGAGAAATTTTCGCCTTGTGCACCTCTCATATTGCCCTGGCGCTCGCAATTCGCCAGAATAAACACCAATTCCATCATAAAATCGTTACTGTCCATCATTATCGATCAATCGTTGCATCATTTACAATTAATTTGACGATATTACCCTCATTTTCTCAAAATACGAAGAACGAGTCTTGAATCCATTGTTCGCACCGGCCGCCATCTCGGATTTGTCCAAAGTGAAAAATTTTTGCCACATGATTTTTTTTCTCACTCTCGTGTTCGAAATTCACGACAAAAATGACCAATTTCATCGTAAAACTGTTGTTGATGATGATTACTAATTGATTACCACATTATTAATTATTATTTCAATAGATTTACCCTCTTTTTCCACGAAAATATGTAGAGCGAACGCCAAAGCCACGGAAGCCAACCGCCATCTTGAAAATAGTCCCTCGCGCATTGAGACCGCGCAAACCGCGAAAGGCGACCGGGAGGGGGGTCGTTTGAACAATAACAGATGGACACAGCGTTTTGGACACGTTCTAGTCTAGGGAAGATGACGACAGTACGAAGGCGGTGAAACAGATGGGCACGAAAATTTGTGGATACATTCCCGGATGGGCAGATAGTCATCAGGTGGTTAAACAGAGTTCGGTGTTGGAAATATGTTCAGGAAATGCCGTACCAGTCGACATTTTTAGTGCAGCGGTACGGTGAAAGATGGCGGGATTATTCTCATTTCAATCGAAATTACTGACTGAATCGAACTGGCCATCGGGCAGTAGGATATAATAAATTGAATCAGCCAGAGGGGCCAGAGGAGAAGTATCTGAGCTATCAGCAACGGGAGACAGGTTCTGTACGGTGCATTTGGAAATGACGACGATCTTTTGAACGGTACCCGTCAATTTCGGGCGAATTTTTTGCGCACACTTGGAGGCACCAAAAATTTCATTTTCACCTGGGGCCAAAGTGTCATATCTTGGATTTTTTCAGGGGAAAAGTCAACTTTCGGCAAAATCGAATTTTTTCGCCGAGTGAAAGTCGATTCCGGCTATTTCGATGACG